CGATGCCCTCGACCTCCTCCCCGTCGCGCTCCTGCTCCTCTTCGACGCCTGCATCGAGGCCTGCATCCGCTTTCTCGAGGCCGTGCCCTGGTCCGAGGACGAGGAGGCCCGCGTCATTGACCTGGCGCGGCTCCTCCCCGCCGATGAGGCAGCCGACCTGCTCGCCAGGGTTTCTCCTCCCCCCGTCGCCGCTGGTCCTTCTTCCGCTGCGGGGGTGGTCGCCAGGTCGCCCTCCGAGGCGATGCTGCACGGCCTGATCCACTCGGCGATCCATGGCCACCCCGTCCACGCTGCCACCAAGGCGTTCGTAGCGATGCTCCTTAAGGACTACCCGTCGCGGGACTGCGTCCACAAGGTGCTCGATGAGGCATTTCAGTCGCGCTTGGACACAGTCAAGGAGCTCATGGGGAAGCACGCAAGCCCGGATTTCAGGGTTGCTGTGGACAGTGATGAACGAGAGGCCATACAGAGGCTCAACCTGCAGTCTGCGGTGTTGAATGTGAAGCACCTGTATTGGCTCATCGAGAGGATGGTCGATCTGAGGGTGGCTTATAATGCGGTGACACTGTGGAGTGATCAGGCTGCCCTGGCTACTGATTTGCAGAAGTTGCTGAATGATGCAGACATGTGGCGGAACATGACGCCTGGGCTTCCAATGCTTGTGACCAGATGCACACTCAGGCTCACCAATTCAGTCATCACCGGGGAGACTCTAGTACCTCGGCAGGTTAGTCTGCTAACTGATAATCTTTCTATTACAGCAACTTTATGCATGCTACATCTTGTGAAGGTAATTTACTATATTATAAATGTGACGATTCAGTTAGAACTTAGAAGAATGCTACCTGCGTGCAATTTCCTTCTGTTGAAAAGCAGTTGATAATAGGTTGTATATGTCAACATAATACCATGCTTAGAATGGTTTAACTTGCCGCAGCTGATAAGACTTGTTAATGGAATGCTCCATTATTATAAGCCAATGGCTGTGTTTTATGCATCTTTCCTCTTAATACAAAGTAGCACCTAATGTGTTCAATTGTTTATAGGTAAGCCTGAAAAGCCCAGACAGGACTTGCATAAGTTGCATACCATTTTTGTCGATACGTCTCAGTACAACAAAAATAGCTTCTATATTGTGCTGATACACTGTTGGCTTGCAAGACAACTTTGGTGATATGTAATGTATTTTGATTTATCTGAGTATATTCTTTTGAGAAGTTCTAGATTGATCCTTACTTCAGTCCTAGAGTTGTTTGAGCTCCCGAATTGTTGTGGAATCTACTTCCACTTAATATAATGGATATACGAACAAGGTAGCACAGATTTGTTGGAGTACTCCCTCCAATTATAATGGTGTATCAGTGTGGACATCGACATGGCCACTGACATACTACTTTGACCAGTAATTACTAGTACGATATATTGTAATCTTACCCTATTCTTTATGGTTATTTTATTTAACTCAAGCAACATGTGCGGTCACTCCATATAATTCATCATGCTATCAAGGCCTCAGTGGGTATCTCAGTTGGTTGTGATCTAAGAACCCCACAAGGTCTCTACCACATTGTTTGATAATTAGGGTTTGTAGTATTGACCCCTAAATCAGATTTTTCTGAGGTGTTTGGTAGTGTATCAAATCAGAGAGCAAAGCCGCCTTTTATGAGTATGTATTGATATATTGATTAGCTTGTGTCTTATTTATGGGCATTAATCGGATGAATAGGTTGTGAACAAGATTAATCGGTGACAGGTTGGACTGATGAAAGCGTTACTCCCTCTGTTCCAAATTATAAGTCGCTTTGACTTTTTTGGTTCATCCATTTTGCTATGTATCTAGACATATTATTTATCTAGATGCATTGCAAAATGGATGTATCAAAAAAGTCAAAGCGACTTATAATTTGGAACGGAGGGAGTAATACGTAAAGAATGATTGTTTGACGCGAGTTTCAGTGCTAAATTAACCAATTATTAATGGTGTGGATTGCATTGTCATGTTTTGGTAATACAGCCTGTACAAGTGTTTTAACGTTGACTTGGGAGCTTGATTATCTATTTGCGATTCCAATAAGGATTCAATTTACAGATTTTTAAATGTGATTATTATTGGAGTTATTGATGGTCAAGAGCTGAAAGAAAGATAAAGGTATCTTTCAAAACATGAATCTGGATTGAATTCAGACCAAAAGGTTTATGCTACATGCCAAAAAAAAAGGAAGAAAAGAGAAATAAAGAAAAGCTTTAATCTAGGAGCTGATTTCAGAGATAAGAGGGCCGGGATTGTTGAATGCTTTAATAATTTATTGCTTTACTTAAGGAGTCTGATGAGATAAATGGGCCTAGTATATTTGGTTCAGTAGAGTTGGTCTGAAAACATTGGGCCAACTATTAGTGGTTTCTTGTGTGAGTCCTTGGTCGCTTTGTCTGCTCATTCGCCTCTTATCCAATTGCTTCTTCTAAAAACACAGCATTGGTTAATCTTTCTTATTCTCCCTTCGGGGTTCCTTATGTTTCTACTAATAGAAACAGTTCAGACCTTGCTCATACAATCCTCGGGACTACTATTGCTTAATCTTTGTGCTCCCTAGAGAAAGTAAACAAGATGATACAACTGAATAAAATCTGACTGAATATTTTTGCTAGGTTGGCCAGCAAACTAAAACGCTCAGATCTGCTTTCAGATTTGTCAGCAAGGCTACATCACTGCCAATCTCTAAAAAGAAACACAATCAGTATTTTTGTCATCATAAAATCTGACCGTTGCATGAAGGCCCCAAACTAATTATATCCAAGGACGTGCTTGCTTTTCTAATCTTAAGCAACTTGATGGTCTTTCCCCACAAAAGGCTTTCCCAGAATTATGCACTCTCCAATTCTCCGTGGTTGCCCTTTTTGTTACATGACTAAATATCTACATCATGTTTGCCAGTAAACAAAGCAGTACCGCTGCAGGTTATAGTGTTTGGTTTGCTGAAGGGGCTACTCTGTAGGTTTCTACCAAAAATGCTCATTGTACGCTTTGCTAAAATTGCAGAGATTGTAACTGGTTTTCAGGAAGACACCTAATCTTTTTTTATGAATAACTAAGGAGTCCTGTATTACTGTTACTGGTACTATATGCTAAAGATGACAGTTCGAATTGTTGAACTGGATCTTTATATATTTGGCACATTGTGCTCCAGTAGCCTCCTGCCTGTGGAATATGGATTGTTTATTTGTTTCGATGAAGCACAAGTCTTTGAATTAGCATCTCTGTTTCTTGTGCTATTATCATGCACATGCACTGATGTTTATTTGTTTCCTTCTATCGCTCATCCACAGTATATGGTCTGGCCTCTGTGGGTCTTTTGGTTCTGGCTTAAATGTTTCTGAAAGCTTAAATGTTGGAATGCCTCTAAAGATGAAACTCTCATACGCTTTAGATGGTATAGGTCTCATGGTTCGCTGCATCCATACTGTTTATACTTATTTCTTAATAGATAATTCTCTTTCTAGTTCTATTCCATCTGTGCATCTGCGTTTTATGTATCTACCGACTGGTGTTTCCTTTGAGCAATGCAGCAGGCTTGCACTTTGGTATCTTATTCTTGTCAAACGGAGCCTGCTATTTCAATTCTTCGATGGCATTTGAATGTTGCAAGCTTCTTGGTAATAAGCTTATGAAGTTGCGTTTCTCTGTGTATCTGAAACTGTTCTACATGTCTTTTCATCAGGTGAGGATGATGCTCGTCAAAAGCTGGCTCCCTGTCCTAAACGTCTGCCGGGACATTGTCCAACCAATGCACTTCCAGAAATCAACCAACTGCCAAGAGCTGGAGGAGGCGTTTCTTCAGATCATCTCCACCTTGCCTGTCCCCGAAGCCCAGGAGCTGCTGCAGCAATGCCTGGGGTTCTCCACCCGCAATGTCGACGACTGCCCGCATCTGGTTGCCGCGTTCAAGACGTGGTTCCGGCGCGCTGGCCGGGCTCCTCTGGGCGGGGAAAACTGAGACATGAGCGGATGTCTGTATCGCTCAATCAGTGCGTGTGTCGCTGTGTACTCTCACATGTAGTCAGCTGTAGGCCTACCTACATCCTCTGGATTTGGTATAGTGCTTGCGTCTCTGTTTTTTTCAACGTTGTCTGTATATATTGTCTGTCGTTTGTGCACTTAACTGTCCCTACTCGTTTTAGCTAATAACCAAGGTAAAGGTATGCAGCGTATGCTCCGTGTTTTAACTCGAATAATGATGTCTGCGTGCTTTTTTCACTCAGTGTGCACTTGTGCAGTGTTTGCCGGCTGCAGTTGTATTTCCATCAGAGTACTGCAACTGGTTGTGAAATTTGCTCTCTACAAGTTGTGAAGTTCGTGAAAAAGATAAGAAGATAAATAAAAAAGTTTTCTGATTCTTTGGACACAAGATATCGAAGAAAGAGGATGCAATTAAGAAGATGTGGAGGCGAAGATGGCAACAAATCGACCCTGGCGCACCACTAAAAAGAGCATATATGTTTTTGTTGTACAAATATATGCACCACTTGAAAGAGCATAAATGTTTTTTTTCCGGTAAAGATAAGTGGCACCACTAAAAAGAGCATAAATGTTGTTTTTTTTGGGGGGGGGGGGTTAAAATATGTGGTGTAACTCTTAGGCTCTTTAGTGGCAGAAACAATTTTACCCTGGTCCTGTCCTGGTGCATCAGCACCGGGAAACAGCATTGCCTTTGCATATGTAGAAGATCATTACTACATTGTTATCGTACAGCCCAAAAAGCATGCCAGGTTTGTCCTCGTCATTTATGTCCGTGCATTGACAATTGACATTGCAAACCCACACCGAAAGAAAGGAAAATGGAAAAAATGAAAAGCGAGACTGAAGGAGCCAACACATGGGTGATGGGTCAGAGACGCGTCATGACTCATGACTAACGGTTTTATCCTAAAAAAATGACTAACGGTTTTACTTTTGCTGACGAGGAGACTGGGAAAATGATGGCCTCGGCGCACGCAAGGGCGCGCTAGTAGAAGCCCTGCACCGGCCACCGGCGGTCGGGGTCCGGCAGCCACGACGACCGCTTCTTCTTCCTCTTCTTGTCCTTCTTCCCTTCCTCGCCGTCCTCGGGGCTCCTGGAGTCGCCGTCAGACCCGGCGCCGCACGCACCGGCCCCCACCCCAGCTGCGCCGCCCAACCTGTTCCTTGACCGCACGTACTCGATCAACCTCCACGCCGCCGGCTTCGGCTGCTGCGGCACTGGCGGCGGCGGAGGCTGTGGCGGGGACGCCGCCCCCTGCTTCGCCCGCGCCTTCTGCCGCTGCTCCTCCTCCTCCTCCACGACAGCCAGCAGAGCCGGAGGCGGGTTGTTGGCGTCGTCGTCAGCGTCGTCGTGGAGGGGCGCGGACTGGGACAGGCGCTCGTAGTCCGGCAGCGGCACGGTGTCCTCCAGCGCGCCGTCCCTGTCGCCGCCGCCGCCGCCGCCGCTGCCGCCGACGCAGTCCATGAGCAGCAGGTGCTGGTGGCTGCCGCCGGACCTCCGCTTCCGCCGCCGCGCGCCGCGCCTGGAGCCTGGCCTGCCGCTGCTGGTGGCGTACCGGCCCTGCTCCTCCTCATCGTCCGAGTGATCCAGGGTGTCCATATTTAACGAGCTTCTTGGCGCCACAAACCATGCTAGAGCAAAACCCCCCTCTCTCTCTCTCTCGTTGCTCGTTGGGAGGCTAAAAATCCTTTGCAAGTGCCCTGGCGGCCTGGGGATCCTCTCTCTCTCTCTGCTCGTTGGGATTGGGAGGATAAATCCTCTGCAAGTGCGGTGGCCTATGGGTACGTGACTCCCAACTCCCAATTCCCAAAGGGACGCAGAAACTAGCAACAGGGGAATGGATATTCCATTCAGAGGAAAAGTTTGACGAGAAGTGCTGCAGTCCGGCCCGGCTGATCGCGTTGATCTGAGCTGGTGGTTGACTTGGAGGAAGGTGCGGTGGCGGCGTTCGTGCCTGCACGGGTCCGCTCCGTTACGTGTCGCCCTTGACGACGGGTGGGTCCCGCCGTGCAGTGAGAGAATGCGTACGGTTAGATGCTTTCCTTTTTCGCGCGAGAAGAAACGTACGCGTCGATGCGTGCGACGACCGAATTTTTTATTTTCAGCCTTTTTTAAAAAAAATATTCACAAATAGACCATGGTGATTTGATTTTCGTTTATGTACCCTGATCTTGGCACCATGGCTTTTGGCGCTGAGGAAACACGTCTCGGTGCCATAGTTAATGGCGTCGAGGTCTTGGCGAGGCGTCGGACGTGACGGTGACCTGGCGCCGACGTGGACAAGGCCTCGGCGCCGTAGAGCTCGGCGCCGAGTTCGGCGCCGTAGATCTTTGCGTCAAGCTGTTATCCTATAGATCTTGGTGTTTGAAATGAAACAAATATAATTGTTCCGAAGAACATGGAACAACGTCATTGCGGTTCAGCTGGTTAGGACGAGCGCGACTTAGCTCAAAGGCCTGGGTTCGAACCCCAACGCCTGCAATGTTAACAAAAAAATATATTTTGGGTTCGAGCTTGGGGTCGAGAAATTTGAGTCCGTGGGTTCAAACCCTGGAGGCACAATGGGATCATTAAATGTTCCTCGAAATAATTTTTCTTGTTCTATTGCTTATAAAAATGTAGCAAAAAAAAGGATTGAACCACGCAATAACGTTAGGCCTTTGAGCTAATGTTCGTCGAAACAATTATACTTGTTTCATTTGTTGCGCTAAGATCTCAAATAATTATACTTGTTTCATTTTAAACGCTAAGATCTATAAGGCGTCGAGCTCGGCACCAAGATCTATGGCGCCGAGGCCTTGTCTACGTCGACGCCAGGTCACCGTCACATCCGACGCCTTGCCAAGACCTCGACGTCATTGGCCATGGCGCCGAGACGTGTTTCCTCGACGACAAAAGCTATGGCGCCGAGGTCAGGGTCACTAAACGAAAATCAAACCACCAAGAGTCTATTTATAAATATTTTTTTTTAAAAAAAGGTTGAAAAATAAAAAATTCAGGTGCGACGATGCCTGGCGCGGGCGCCGCCGCGTCCGTGGATTTTGACGGTTTCGTTGGAGGGCACAATTTGCGGAATTTTCTCGGCTCAGACTTTCAAGTCCGGTCATTGAGAAAAGCTCCAATCTCTTGTTGTTCCGCGAAGATCTTGGTACGCAGACGCAGGAGAAGCAATGAGCACTGCCATTTTCCTCAAGTAGGGTTAGAATCCCGGTAGGAGCCCTAACTTCACTCAGATCCACGATATTTGACCGCACTGTGGCCCAGCTTCGCTCAAAAACCAAACACAAATATTGTTCCGGCTAATTTGTTGTGAGAGAAAAACACTGTTTCGGCTGAAAAAAAAAACTAAAAAATACGGATTATAAGACAAGTGAACAGGGCCAATTGATTTGTTTCTTGATATATAGATGCCGTTTAGAGTGATTACGGATAAGGCCCTCTTTGATCCCTCTAGTTTTTTTTATAATCCGCACCATGTTCGTTTGAGTTTGTTTGGTTTATAAGCCATACTTTTTCACCCAACGAACAATATTTTTCTCTCACACCAAATCAGCCAATAGTACTTTCAGCCATAGCTTATCAGCCAAACAAGCCCAAGCGAACAGGGCGCTAGTTTTGGAAACTGGGTGGGATCCAAAACAACTTAGTTTTTCTCTGTTTTTTGTGTAAGTTTTTATTAGATTTTTAAAAACCAAGAAGCTATACCAAGCTTTTGCCAGTTTTCTATGACCCAAAGGGCAATAAATAAAGTAAAAACTAGGGCCAAATTGTTTTTTCTTTCTAGATTTTGATATGTTTTAAAAATCCAAAGATCCAAACGGTGGATATTTCAAAGCTCGAGACCAGTGATCAGCGGATAAATCTCCTAAAAAGTTCTTCAGAGGGCGGTTCACCTCTAGGTGCATTCGAATGGACGGCAAAAGTTTGCATGATTTTATTAGACGAAGAAAAGAAAAAGAAGGCAAGTGCTTATCCAGTTCTTTTTTTCCTACACAACTTGATACAACAACCAAGCACCGCGAATCGACCCGCTAACCAACTATCAACTCACGCCGCCACACTTGCAACCTGGTCTCGACACCACTAGAACAAACTCTCCACCATTGGCACCACCCACGCAACACAACAACGAAAACAATAAGATTTTCAGACAAATTCCACAACAACGCTTTTCAAGAAGGTAACGACGTCCAAGCCGCCGCCGCTCGTCAAGGCCGGATGGTTTTCACCGTGGAAGTGTTTGGACGCGACGCCCTCAGCAGGGGAACGGCACCCGCAGTGTCGCCGCCACCGTGCCTTCGCCAAAGAAACCACAGCACGGTCGTCGGTCAAGATGCCGGGTCCTCGCCAGCACCAAAGACGCCTAGTTTTGAAGCTGGACCCCTCCGACCGGACCACCAAGAACAACGTTTTGCCTCGAAGATCCTGTTTTTTGTGTAAGTTTTTGTTAGGATTTAAAACCAAGGCCGCCCCCAACGCCGCATGAAACCCAACCACCGCCACAAAATGGCCACCATCGAGAAGAAGGAGAGGCGAAAGCAGAGAGAGAGGAACCGCTTGTTGCCCTCGGCGCCCGCAGAACGGGCAGCGCGCTCTACCAACCAAGCTTTTTTGCGAAGGAACCCACCGCCACCGTTGGATTGGATTGACGCCAAAAGATGACCTATGACCCAAAAGAGCACCGCCGGTAGCACTACCACCGCAGGAGCACAAATAAAGTAAAAACTAGGGATCCAAACATCATCACTAGTTTTTTCTTAAAATCTAGATTTTAGAAATTAGAGACAAAAATTGGTTTTTAAAAATCCAAAACTAATCCAAACGGTGGATATTTCAAAGCTCAAGACCACTATAAAGAGCGGATGGAGCTGAAATCTCAGCGGACAAAAAGTTGCTATTCAGAGGGCGGTTCACTGGAAACTATACCCAGGTGATCAGGTGCAGGCAGGCATATAAATACCTGTTTATATATTTATTAACGGACGGGACAAGTCATAACATTGGATCTAGTAGGGCTAGATAGAGCTTCTCGTAAGCCAAATTGGATTTTGCATACTGTGGTAACCCTTAAAATGCATCGTCCTGCCAAAACACCACTGTGGTCAATTACGGCGACTCAATTACGGCGACTATTATATACACAAATGCAAGAGAACGAGAGATGGCCCATGTTGCAGGCAAGCTGCACAAATTTACTTTTCAAATGTAGTGCTAGTGCCCCCAATTTCAAGAAGATTCCTCCTTGAAGGCACATAATCAACATTTCAAAACATTGGTAATCCAATTACTAGACTATAAGACTATTCGTTCATGTTTGTTATTACTGTCACTGATTAGGTCCCGATGAAGTAAATATATTCATCCGCGACACAGTCCCTAACAATTGAAATTTTGCACCTGTGTTCACAGAGTCCCGGGTCAAATTCTGCGCTAGTAGTGCTCGTGAATTGAATTGCACTAGGTATAAAAACTTTGATCGCCTACATCAACAAAGGTTCTGTAAAAATGTCTAATGAACTTATGAACAGAACTACAACGCCGCTAGTGTCGCCGACTCCTGACTCGCTTCTGGATATAAGTTTCTGACCATTTTGCCCTTTTCATTTGGTTAACTTAATTGTTTCTGGTATGGTAGTGCTTTTAGTCCTGCCTACAATCTGTGCTTGTTTGGACTAACTATTCTGTTCTGGTGACATTAAGCTACGTGTAGTGTAGTTTGACATTAAGCTGTGCATATACGAGTAGTTTGCAAATCCTACTGTAGTAACGTGTACGTGTGGCCTGAATTGTACTACCTTTATTCCAAAAAAAAAATCTAAATGCATTTTTTTGTTAAAGTATTAAAAGTTTGGTAAACATATACTATGAAAATATATCTTATAACAAATTTAATGATACATATCAATTTTACAAATATTGGTATTTTGCAAATATATAATTAGTCAGATTTAAGACACTTTAATTTGATAACAATGTGTTAGAATTGTACTCTATTTTTTTAATTGTGAGGTGTGAACACGCATGACGCATGCTCTTTTGTTACCTGGCCCGGTGGAGAGGCGGAAAAAACAATCTCTGCCGCCCATTTCGCGGCAGCTGTCCTGTTCCTTATCTGACGTCGATCGCAGTATAGCACCCTTCCATCTCTCGCGGTCTCGGTGGTGCAATGCAAGTCAGCAAAGCCAGGCGAAGAGACGTCAAGAGCGCCGTCCCATCCACCAAAGCAATAAAAAGCACGCGATCAATCGGTGCAATTCTAGAAGCCCCTCCCTTGCCTGCCTCTCATCACAAGTGCGTTGATTCCTGCTCCCACGAGAGGACAACGAGCGAGAAGAGGGAGGAAAAATTCCAGTCCAACTCGTTTTCTTCTTCTTTCGTCCCCGTCCCCGTCGCCGGCGCCGGCCATGGCTAGTTGTCCTTCCGCCGTTGCGTGACTCGCAGGTTCTTGGACTGTAGCCTCAGCTGCCGCCTGCCGAGCTTCCTTGCCTGTCCTGAGTATCCTGCTGGTATGGAGCATTTCTCGATCCCCCTCTTTTGTTCCTCTTCTTGTAGTGTCTGCGTCGATAGCAAACTGGTCTGGTTATCTCTACTTGTTTTTTGTTTCCTTTGGTCTTGGAAGATCAGAGATTTGTTTATTTCCTTGTGGCCGTCAATCTAATAATAATAAAGCCCCTGTTCTGGCAAAGTACTGCTTCTCTGTTCTTTGTTTATACCGTAAGTCGGCAAGTGATATGAGAACTAAGATTTGTCTTTTGAGCAAACACCGAGATCTTGATGCCTACCTCTACCTGTAGAATTCATGTTCTTGTTGGTATAGTGTTTCGTCTTCGTCAGATGTGCTGTTTCCTCTTCGGATGATCCTGTTGACAGACACAGGCAGCTGTTAGGTGCAATATGCAATACAAGAGCCTCTTTCCCATTAACTCCTCCAAACATTCAATAGGTTCTTTCCTTTCCTTTTAGCAGCCCCATAATGGAGGAGTACGTTCCTATCAGCAAACAGAAAAAATACATGGACATGCCCTGAAAAGGGGCCATGTACTTGTTCAGTTCCAATTTCCAACTGGATGCCAGGTCCCGTGAATTACTTGTTTTTACATGTTATTTTTGTCTGTTGTTATTGTTATAGTTGGTTAGGACGCTACCTTGCCAAGGCATGCAAAGACTCTGGCCTACAGAATAATAAAAACCAATCAATGATATAGTGCACCTAAAGGGGAAGAGCTCCTTGTTGTTCTTCGTGGAAAGAAACCATCAAACATGTTAGTATAAGTGCATGCAGAAATGGAGCCCAAAATCCTGGATGTAGTCTACAACTATCTTTTTTCAAAGTATATAAACCGTTCAGTCTCCATGAAAATGTCCTGAAAACAAAGTATTGCTCTATGAGTCAGTATTATGTAAAATTCAGTGATCCTGATATTTACATATATGATTGGCACCAATACCATGCTTTCTAATTGGCACCAGTACTACATTTATGTTTATGTTTTATCTTTTAGAACAAATCCGGTGTGTGGTTCCTTCATGCCAATTCTTTCACGATATGGCACCTTTCATTTTAGGTTGAGCATCGTTGGGAGTGGAAGAAATCATGTTTAGGAGAAAGCATGCCTCTCATTTCGATTCTAACGATGCTGATCAGCGAAAAGTAAAGGTAATTTTGAAAGTTGTCATTTCATTGGAAATTAAAAAAAATACAGTTTCTAACGCAGCATTTTTTTTTTCATTTCTGACACAACTATCCCGGAGCGAGCAGATTGCTGAACTGAAATCTGCACTTGAGCCTTTGTCTGCCCGTAGTGAGAAGTACTGCAGCGAAGCATGCTTAACAAGATATCTAGAAGCCCGTAACTGGAATGTTGCTAAGTCCAGAAAAATGTTGGAAGACAGTCTCAAGTGGAGGGCAGCTTACAGACCAGAGGATATACGCTGGGTAAATTCGCCCATTAATTTTTATTTACCTGACGTTGCTTTCCTCAAGTATCATGGTATCTGAACCCCGGTAAAGTAACTAAACATCATTGTTACTGCATTTTAGCCTGAAGTTTCAATTGAAGGGGAAACAGGAAAAATGTACAGGGCAAGTTTTCGAGACAGAGAGGGGAGAACTGTTGTCGTTATGAGACCAGCAAAGCAGGCAAGAAGTCCCTTTTTTAAAGTGTTATCATTGAGTGTCTTTTCTTTCCGAAAACCGTTGCTCTCTGTAAGCTTTGTTCAGAATTCATCTGTATACTGTTTTCAAATTTCAGAATACATCATCCCATGAAGGACAGATACGGTTCTTTGTATACTCTTTGGAGAATGCAATCCTCAGCCTGCCTGAAGGTCAAGAGAAAATGATCTGGCTGATCGACTTCACAGGATGGACGATGGCAAATGCTGTGCCCATAAAGACTGCCCGAGAAACTGTAAACATCCTGCAAAATCATTATCCTGAGAGGCTGGCCATTGCATTTCTATTCAATCCCCCAAAAGTATTCGAAGCGTTTTGGAAGGTAAAGTCTGTTTTCCCCAATGTTTGGATTTTTAGGCAACAATCTTAAGCAATCAACTTGTACAATTAAAAGGACAACTCACAGAAGATAATTCACAAGTTTTTTTCTGTAGCCAAACAATAACAAAATTACATGTTGTCTGAACAACAACAGGACCTGAGAGATAGCCATATAGGAGAAGTGGTTGTTGTACAAAATATTCTAATTTTGTTCAAAATATACAAATTGAAAACCAAATTTTATAGAAAAAGTGGTGTTGTTTCCCTTTGCAACATAAATGTCACTAATTCTTTCAGGTTGTCAAATATTTCCTTGACCCGAAAACTATCGAGAAGGTGAAGTTTGTTTACCCGAAGGATGAAGAGAGCATGAAGGTCATCCACAAGTACATTGACCCGGAAGTCCTTCCTATTGAGTTTGGGGGCAAGAGCAGTGTGGTTTACAACCATGAAGAGTACTCTGAGTTGATGACCAAAGATGACATCAAAATATCCAGCTTTTGGGCAGCAGATGCTCAAACTGACCATGTTAATCATGTCATCGATGGGACCTTGGCCCCTGAGGTTACACCTGTTGTCACCGCTAATTGCTGATAAAGTTAGTTGAGGAGTATCAACCTGCTATGATAAGAGCTATTCTTTATATCTCATATAGCTTTAATGGAGGAAACAGACAAGTAGAGGACTAATGGGATCACACCAAACATAAGTGAATAAAATAACAAATAAGTTATGTACTTTTTCATTCTAAAATTTGTTCGTGTAATCAAATAGTATATCCAGGCGTTGTGCTTCGAGAGGAGTTTTCATCATGGGTGTTTTGAGTGCCAGAAGCCCAACACTCACAGAAGTGGTGTACAAGACAGGGTTTAGTCATACCGTCTGAGGACTGGACACAATTATGTCAAATTTTAGCAAATTTATACCAAACTTGAAATTCGCAACAGAATTTTGCTGGAAATTTGGTATACTAGTAAATCACCAAATCTTACATACATATTAACAACCGAAGTTTGACTATCTGGTAATCTGGACACTTATATACTAAGAACTGCAGCAGAGCCAGCCATTGAGCCTAGCATAGGCTCTTCTTCTTTCTTCTCCCTCTCATCTTCCTCTCCTTTATTCTACATTTTTTTTCTCTTGAAAGTGATGTCATGTTGCCAGCAGACACCGGACGCCATAACACAGTCACAAGATCTCCAGCGACCACTACTCTGCCCATCCAACTGCCACATCGAGGCCGAGAGCTGAAAGAAGCGGATGAGAAAAAGAGATGAGTCTGACTACTACCAGACCTATCCTGGTTCAGGTCAGGTAAGGTGCGGTCATATGGAGCCATGGGCAAAATAGACAAAACAACGCATTTCTTTCTCTTTTGAGGCCAGAAATGAATATATTAATGGAAGCGGTGGCGTTTTCTAGTAAATTAACACATTTTCTGTGTGCCAACCAGCCAATCATATTTTTTTATTATATCCACTAGTAACATGACATTACTTTCAGTGTCCCATAGAAAATTTTGCCCAAAAGAAAGTGTATGAAAGTATTTATTCGATCATGTCCAAGCGTTGATATATAAGAGCATTTAGATTTGTCCTTGTTAAATACTTTTCGTTTCATCCACTAAAAGATGAAAAAAAACATGCGTACATATTAGTAATAACCAAAGGTTAACATACATAATTAAGATTTCATTTGGATCCCACAAACTAATAGTTATTAGCTCTTCAGTATATCTAAAATCCCAACTAATATCTTAAAATAAACTATTTAGCTAATGAAAAGTTATTAGCTAAATCTTCCTAGCTAAGTGCTACTCTCTTCGTCCTAGAAGAATGTAGTTCTAAAATAGTGCTAGGTCAAACAATAAAAAGTTGATCAGATTTATATAAAAAATACTAATATCTATCATACTAAATAAGTATCAATATATTTCCGTGAAATATATTTTCAATATACATATTTGGAGTCATATATGTTGATACTATTCTCTATGTAAACTTAATATAATTTGATTTAACTTGATCTAGAATTATATCCTTTTTTATAGAGGTAGTGCTAACAATTAGCTCGGGAATTCAAATCTCAAGGATTCAAGCCGGTCTCAGTCAATAGTTCAGCTAATAGCCTCGCTAATAAAAAGCTATTAGCTGAATTTCTTGAGCTAACAGCTAACAATTAGCTGCCAGGATCCCAGGCCCTAAATTTATCTTTTAAACCCTACTAGTATAGTTGTATATATTGTATATACTCCGTATTAACAACTGAAGGTTACACACATAACTGACATCGTCTTGAAATCTACTTTGCATCAATTCCCCCCTTCCGTGTCCGTCTTTCCTTTCAAAAGGAAACGTGTCCCCATAGCAACAATTCACAAATGTGGTTATCGAGACGTTCAGATAGTAGTTTTAAAGCTTGCAGAGTCTGTTGGATATACCATTTCATGCAAGGTGTGCGTGTTTCTTTTTACCTCAGCGTCAAAAGGCATTGAGAACCAACAAACTATGTATACGGTTTCTAGAATTATATAATTCGTATAATCGCTCAATTAGTGCCGCTGACTTCACCTGGCATCGCACCGTCCGTTCTGGTATACTCGTACGAACAAGTCATCAATGTCCGCAAAAGCAGCCCGTGGAAATGGAATGGAATTGCTGCAAAACAAATCAAGAAGACGAGCCAACTGACCCCTTCCGTCTCGGCAAAGTGACAAGCGCGTGCGTGATTCCATTCCGGAGAGGCAGGTGTGCGTTGATTCCTGCGCTGCGCCCCAACAAGGCCAACGCTCAACGGGGACAGGATGAGGCGACAGCGGGCGACGAGAGGGAGGAAAATTCCAGTCCAACTCTAGCGCTTCCCTTCTCCTTTCCTCTCGTCTTCCCCGCGGCGCCGGCTCTGGTCAGGTCGGGTATTGCCGACATTTCGGGACTCGTAGTTCGCTTCTTCCTGGTCGGGGTTGCTGCGCGCCTTGCGTACCCTGGTACGAGCGTTTCTTGATCCGTTTTTCTTTTCATTTCCCCCCCCTCACGCCGTCTCGGTAGATTGCTAGACGGTGTCGTGGATTCGTTGCCGGCTTGTGTTCAGCAGCTAGAGTTCCTCCTGTTCTGCTACAGTCCTGCCTTTCTGTTCTTTGTTTATTGCTTTATTACACCGTTAGTACCATGGGGGTATGGACAGGAGGAAGATTACAGGTTCACCGCTTGAATTTGATCGGATGTCTTCACCGTTGAGCATGTGGGAATCCTCCAATTCGGAGATCTTGCCTACCTTTTATGCTCAACGGATGTTATTGTTTGTATCTATCATATTCATTTGTCAGATCTATTATTCTTCTCCAATATGAGTTCATTGGGACATAATCGAATTTGTCATTTTATCCGGAGAGAATTCATTTCAATGAGCCCTTCCCAGCTTATCGAGTTTGCCTAGTATAATTGTGTTTGTCATTTTCTCTGTCCTTCTACGTTATTATCAGCACAGCACACAGAATAGAAAATTGCCTGATTGGTTGGGCAAAAACTGGTAGCCAACCAATCAGGCTCTACATGTAACTATAGAAGTAGTTGCTACCGGTACCTACCTGTTCGTTTTCATATTCCAATTGGATGGGAGTTTCTCATTTCTCTATCCAATTGGATGACAGGTAGTAAGTCACTTGTTGCCTTTCCTTGTCATGGCAAGGCTCTGGCCCACATAATAATAGAATACTAAATACTTAATAGAAAAATATTTCTTTTCCTGGATGGCAACAATTGAACACGTCGGTGTTATTTGCAAATTCAGAACTGGGCCCAAATCCTGGACGCGGTCTATTCTACTTAATTCAATCAGACTCCACATGCAACTATTACTCTGCAGTGTCTCACTTTGCATATTATCACCAGTGTTGTTTAAATACGTACTTTTGAATTGTGTTATGAAGATTGAATTGATGTGTTGTTATGAGTATTGTTTAATATTTTCTTAATGCGCCATCCATCGTAGGGTTGAGCATCACTGGGAGTGGAAGAAAGGAATCATGTTCAGGAGAAAGCATGCTTCTCATTTCAACTCAAATGATGCTGAGCAGCAAGAAGCAAAGGTAACTGTGATAATTGTCTTCTCATCATAGCTCATAAGTTTTTGTTGACATGAAGATTTTAGAGCCTGCTGTGAATTCTTATTTTACGTCAAAGCCCATAGTGAATCATGCTAGGAGTATGTTCCATAGTCCATAGACACGTGCTTTGTTCATATACTAGTGCTATGACTATGATCCAATTATTTGCTGCAATGAAACACCAGAGCCTACAGGGGCTTACTTATGTATACCATGTTATGTTTGTGTGTTAGTACTAGTTCACATAAAAGCCTGCACTCAACAATCTAAATGTTCATACATAGATGTGTGTTATTGTCGCAGACTTGCCCTTGGGCCTTTATAAGCTTGACAAATGGTTTTAGTTTCTTTATTGAAATACCTCTGTATTGCCTGGTTGATTTCTCACATGATGTCACCTATGAACAGATAGATGAATTAAAATCTGCACTTGGCCCTTTGTCTGCCCATGGCGAGAAGTACTTCAGTGACACATGTTTGAGAAGATATCTTGAAGCCCGGAACTGGAATGTTACTAAGTCGAGAAAAATGCTTGAAGAAAGTCTCAAATGGAGGGCAACTTATAAGCCGGAGGATATTCGCTGGGTAAATGCACTCAAGTTACTTTGTTCCCTGAATCCTGGTCAAGTGACCAAACACCATGCTAACTGCCTTTCAGCCTGATGTTTCTGTGAAGCGGAAACCGGAAAAATGTACAAGGCAAGTTTTCAAGATAGAGAGGGGAGAACCGTAATTATTATGAGGCCTACAAAGGAGGTAAGACTTTCTCTTTTGAACTGACATCACTGTGTTTTTTAATTTCTCCTTCGTAAAGATCATCAGTCTTTCTTACTTTCATAAAAATTCACGTGTATGCTTTTATCAAATTCCAGAATTCAACGTCCCATGACGGTAAGATCCGGTTTCTTGTATATGTTTTGGAGAACGCAATCCTGGGCCAACATGAAGGTCAAGAGAAAATGGTATGGCTGATAGACTTCACAGGGTGGACAATGGCCCATGCCACACCCATAAAGACTGCAAGAGAATGTACAAGCATCCTGCAAAATCATTACCCTGAGAGGCTGGCCATTGCATTTCTGTTTAATCCCCCAAAAGTATTCGAAGCCTTTTACAAGGTAAAGGTTTTTAAATCTCCTGTTTTGTAAATGTTATGTTTGTGTTTGATTTGCTTCACAAAGATTCAAAATCTATATGTAGAGTTGATACATGAAAATATGCTCCTGTTTTGATTTCCCTATCCTAACTCAAGTGTTCCAAATTCTTACAGGCTGTGAAATATTTCCTTGACCCGAGATCGATCGAGAAACTGAACTTCGTGTACCTGAAGGATGAGGAGAGCATGAAGGTCCTGTACAAGTGCATTGATCCCGAGGTCCTTCCTGTCGAGTTCGGGGGAAAGAACAGTGTTGTATACAACCATGAGGAGTACTCCAAGTTGATGCTGCAAGAAGATATCGAAACATCAAGCTTCTGGGAAGATGACGCGAAAACTGTTGACCATGCTATCAATGGGACCTTGGTTCCTGATGTTGCACCTCAGTCGCCGCTACTTGCTGCTAAAGCCAGTTGAGTATGAGCCTAATATGATGGGAGCTATTCAGAATGCTTTAATGGAGGAACTAGAAAAGTTGAACTCCAATAGTTTGTTCACGGTAAACAGAAATAGAGGAAATAACAGATGAGATATTACTTGTCCATAGTCGAAATAGTTGCACTTATCAAACACTTTATCCAGTACACGATGAGTTACAGGAGGATAATCGCCATGGGTGATATTGGATGCAAAAGCCCAAAAGAAATGGTGTAGAGGTAGGAGAGCTACCTGCTTATTGTATCTCAACAGTCACTAAATGCTGTACTTGCTTTAGCCGTGGCTCTGGAGAAGCTAATTCTGGGTTATGACTTTTAAAATGCTGATTTTATATTTGTATTTTATTATGGCCGAAGTAGCTCCTCGCCAGCTTGTGGATTCTAGTAGTAACGATACTCCCTCTTGAGATTTTTTTTTAACGCAAGCGGCCGGGGCTCTGCATTTTTTTGTGCGTCGCCGTCAGGTCCTCAAGCCTGCGGCGCCCACCGCCAGACTACCAAGCCATGCTTGTTCGCGAATGACTCCGCAGCAGGAAGAACGGTTGGTCTGACGCCCGCAGGCCGAGGTCCAGGCGTCCAGCTCTTCCCAAGCACCCGTGCGTACGCCACCATGCACGCCAGTTTCCGCTCCGCGCAACCCGTGATGACGCGGCTAGGGCGCTAGGCCTTGGACCGCGGCGCGTGGGAACAACGAGGAAGCTTCGTGAACCAGTACGCTCGCCGATCTGGGTACACCGCAACTCGGCGTTGAACCAAGAAGCTGCAGGGGCTTGTCGAGACAGCGGCGCAGCTCAGCTCTCGGACACGGCGGCGAGGGACGGAAGGAGGCGCGGTGGCGAATCCGAATCTAAAGCCGCCGGTTTAACTGCAGCAAAACGGATCTGACATCACACCCGTCCTTGCGGTACACGTCGACGAACAGAGCCGGCATCACCTAGCGAAGCAAACCTGATCGAAAGCTGGTGGCATGAAATTTTAGAGCGACGGCAACTAGGAAGCTCAAAAGTTTTGATGATGGGACACAAAAGGCAGAATTAGCTCAAACATTTACGGCAATGTAGCAATCACACTCGTCCGTCCGCGCCAGAAGCTCCAGTCAGTGGACCCGACGTCCAGCTGTTCCTGTCCGCTCCTCTCTAGTCATCGTAGATTATAAAAAAAAAACTTACGCGACCGTGACTGCGCTCCGCCGCACCTCCCGCATGCTTTTCTCTTCACCTGTCTCCCGCCGGCCTTCCTCCACACCGCTGCCGCGCCTGCACCGCAGCGGCGTGCTCCCCCACGACCGCACAGCTGCTGCCGCCTCGCCGCGCTAGACCGCACCCACTCGACTGTTGTTGTCGCCTCCACCGCGGGCACCGCTCGCCGGGGGCACCGCGTGCGCCCTATCGCCAGGGGCAGCGCAACGCTCACCTAGGGCCGCCCAGCCGTCTGTCCACTGCCATCCTCCTTCTCCACTGTGACCGCACAGCCAGATCCTGTTGTGCAGTGCTCCGCCCGCCCCGCCCGCCTGGCTGCTAGGTTTTGCTGAAAGCGTATGTTACAAGCGTATGTTTTAAGTGTTTTAGATATTTCAGAGGTATGTTGCAAATGTTTCAGATGGACGTTACAAAAGCAGATCGAGATATTGCATATGTTGCAATGGTTGTACACGTACGAAGTATGTTGCAAAGGTCTGTTACCAATGTTTTATTTATATTTTCTAGATGTATGTTGCAAATGTGTTTTATCTAGATGTTGCATATGTTTAACACATATGTTCCATATGTTTTATCTGGATGTTGCGTATGTTTGCAATGATTTTCAAGTGTTTTTAGATTTTTTTCAAGTGTTTGAGAAACATGTTTCAAGTGTTTTATCTGCCTTCAAACATATGTTGAGTGTTGTATTTAGATATTTCAAAAGTAGATCGGGTATTGCATCTCTCCTCCTCGCCTTCCGCTGCATCGCCCCGGTGTCTCCTCCTCCTCCCGGTGCCGATTGGTCATCCGCCACCCCTTCCTCCTTTTCTCGATGCTGACATTCGGGGTAGTTGGGTCCCGTGTGGGTGCGCAAAACAGCATGCAAAACGGATTGCGGGACGCGGGCGTCCGGACGCCTCGTCGTCCGGATGTCCGGGCACTAGCAAACCCAAAACATTTGTATAAAGGCACATAAGTATAGAAAAACGACTGCGGCTTCCGCCAACCAGCGCCAAGCCACCGTAAGAGCAACCAACACTACAGGCAGTTACGGGCTCTAAGATAATTTCTCTATTAATATTAACTTTTAATACATAGTTTATAATATTTTTGGTGAGGAACATGTTTATAATATGAGTAGCCTCACATAGTAACTTTTAATTGTTTTTAAAGCGTATGCATAAGACTAGCTCTTAATTAAAAGAGAGTTTCTCTCTCTTCTATTAGAGTATAAAATAATGTGATTAAAGCTACAGTAGCTCAAAAATCATCATTGGACGTGCCCTAACTGCAAGAAAATATTCTTTCACCCTGTTCGCTTGTTGGTTTCAGCCAGGCTTATTCAACCAGCCAACAATATTTTCCTCTCAAAAACCAAGCACCACCAACCCAAACCAGCACCAGCACCAACCAGCGAACAGGGTGTTTGACATCTGTCGAGGTGGATCTGGTTGCAAGGCCTTGTTTAAATCCGGGGCTAAAGTTTAGTGGTGTCACATAAGGGTGTCACATGGGATTGTTCGGATAGTAATAATAAAATAAATTATACAAGTCATCGGTAATCTGCGAGACGAATTTATTAAGCATAATTAATCCGTTATTAGCACATGTGTGTACCGTAGCATCACATTGTCAAATCATGGACTAATTAGGTTTAAAAATTTCGTCTCGTAAATTAGTCGCAATTTATGCAATTAGTTATTTTTTAATCTATATTTAATACTCCATACATGTGTCAACCATCCGAAGTGATAGGGACTAAAGTTTAGGACTGCACACCCATATGTTTTATGCAATTCAACACATGAATTTTTTTTGCACCATAAGATTAAGATCCAACATGCTTCACCCTTCTTCTATCTCCAGCCTTCTTCCACCTTCTGACAATCACAAGATCATAGATCCGCAGATCACAAATCATATATAACAATTTTTTTTTAGTGAAAGGATAAATCACAGATCTGCCGCCGTCACCGCCGCAAGTCGCGGTCGCTGCAGGTAGCCACCGCCGGCGCCCAGGCTGCTCGCCTCCATCGCATATGAGCTGCGCGCCGGCGTCCGTCGGTGTCACGTACTACGCGACACTACTGGTCACTGGTCAGCGTTGTGATCACTGTAGCTACGGTAATGCTCCGTCCGTGCGGCGGTTTCTCCACGATCACAATCATGAGCGTGCGTTCGGCCGTCGTCTGATCGTGCCATGCGCAGCCTGTCGAACGTGCTTTTGCGCAGCGGCAAAGCAAAGTGGCACACTGCCGTACGCAAGGGCTGACAGCGTCCAAGGGCCGGTGACAAAGAGAAGGGAGAGGGATAAAAAAATCAATATGTTTTTTATGTTAAAACACATATATGTTGTATAATATTTTTAAAAAAAAATCGACAGGATCAGTTCTCATGGAACATTCGTGCAGAACTATCGCTGACTTAGAACGCGTTGCTTATGAATACATGTCCTGAATAGCATGTACTAGCTTCTTCTAGAAACCGCCCTCGTTATTTTTTCCCCTCAAGACAGTGACGAAGTGTTGCAAGCAAAAAGTTATTGGGAAGTTCAAATTCGGATTAGGAAATTGAACAAGATTGAAAAGGATCAAATTTTGGTTATTTAGGCCAAGTTTGCAAATTCAGGGGGAAAAAAAAAGTCGCCGGCACCCTATAAAAACCGACCTAAGTCTGTTTTAGCTGTATGAGTGTAACTCAACCCTAATTCGATGGGAATTACTTAGATCGATCATGTGAGAAACTTGAGATCTCATTTGGAAAAAATGTTTTTTAATCAAAAGGATCACGGTCAACTGAGACATCTACACACAATCGATCAAAAAAAAATCTTACCTTTTTATTCTACATTTAGCTCTTCTAATCCATTGCTATCTGACACCTCTCTCGACACGATTTACTGACGTTCTAAGTGGGTTTTATCGATTCTAGGACATCTGTTATGCTCCTCTTCTCTAACAGATTTTCATGAGAGGTGTTCGTGGTCTTTTCGAGTGAAAAACAAGAGACGAATCTGCACGGCCGGTTTATTAATTGGCGGTTTACTGATTGATCTCGTTATTTCGATATCCCTCTACTACGTGTCTAGACCGTGTCCGATCTCGGACAAGCTAGCCATTAGTATGTGACTGGAGTTTGCATAAACACAAAACTCTCATCATCGATTGCGCGAGCAGGGAGACTGGAGAGGAGAGACAACTTTGCACCGAGCCATGGCCCATCGACACAAGCGACGCGTGGGAGGCGCTACACCAGTCACCAGACACAAGACGGGCAGTGAATCCACGTATATATAGATATAGTTCAATAGTTGTCCATGCGCTTGGCAGCTATATATCAATATATATCAATCGGAATAAAAAACGTGGATCATAAATAGTACTTTCTCTATCTAAATTACAAATTTTAAAAAAAAAATAGATACATAGCTGACTAATACTGTATTTTGAAATATAATGGCTACTACATCGCCGAAGGTGTTAATACCACTTGAACATAATTGTTTGTTGATCAAGAATACTAGCAGATAACTTGCGCGTTCCTGCTGGATTGCCAAAAAAAAAAAATAGAGATGATATGGATGGCTTGCATTAGATGTTGAAAGTTAGGGTGATGTATGTGAGACCCAGCTCATGGGAGGAATTGTGGTTGGGCGGGGTTACTGCAGCTGTAGCGATGAATTGAGCTGGCCTGAATTTGGGTTACTGCAGCGACGAGTATTGTAGCTGTAGAAAAAACTGTACAGCCAGAAAGTTTAGTACCGTACCATGAATTATGAGTTCGCCGAACCGGCTTAAAT